TCATAGCGCATTTCATTAGAGTATTTCGTCGACCTCTTTTGCAAACTTATACTATGAATTAGAAATTTATAGCATGTATATAGAATGTAAGTTTCTATTATATAAAAAAAATATGTTTTATAAAAAAAAGTTACGGTAATTTAGTTTATATCGTTAGGTTGCGCCAAATGTAGGCAACCAACTTAAACTTTTTGTTAGCATTTAGCTGGAGTTTCTTGAGAATATATTTAATATTTTCCAGTTAATTTATTATTATTTTTTAAAGTGATGATAATAATGCTGAATAAGCAATATTTCAAATGATATCTAATCACAGGACGTACTTAATATTGTGTTATAAAGTAGGTTAGATAAAAAATATCATAATATTCATATTATAATTCAAAAATATCATTCATCAAAAATATCCAATATCATCAAAAATATAATTAAAACAAATCATAATCTTCTATTATTCCTATTAGAAACTAGTTTTGGACGGCCCGGGATTTTACCTTTTTTTATCTAACGTACTTTATTATGAGGATTTTACAATAACACAATATTAAGTACGTTTTGTGATTAAATATCATTTGAAATATTGCTTATTCAGCATTATTATCATCACTTTTAAAAAATAATAAATTAACTGGAAAATAATAAACGTTTATTAAAAATATTCTCAAGAAACTCCAGCTAAATCCTAACAAAAAGTTTAAATTGGTTGCCTACATTTGGAGCAACTTATCGATATAAACTAAATTACTGAACTTTTATCACAGCTTTTATTTAATTTTTGACGCCTTGTCAAACTGAACTGGATGTTAACTGAAATGTTTTTGTTATTAAGAACATATTTACATAATTTTATAAATATATTTTAATGATCCACCTGTAATATCCTGGTAAACCTGCCAGGGTATAAGGATGAATAAATAAGAATGTTTTATTCTAGGTCTTTTATTGTGATACTTTATAATCTGACACCCACATGTTGACTGCCCTAACATGACAGGTGAAGTCACCACGAGGCTGCTCTCATGTTGGTTGCCTAACAATGGCACCACATATATTACATCCTCCCTCTTATAGATCTAAGCGTTCAGGGGGTTTTACAGAGCGACCCGACCTAGTAGTTTTAAGCGATGGTTCATAGACTGGCTCCACAAGAGGCAATCCATGAACACTATCTCTTTGGTTTCTACAGGACTCTCTTTGCTCAGTGGGCAAGATATTCACTTCACACTGGGGCGGGTCACTTGAATCAGGATTGAACAGACTACATTGTATATTATCATGTCCAGAAGCTGTTTTGAACACATTTAATGATTCTCTTAAATCTACTCTGTTGCGTCTGACTGTGTCTCCATTTTCATTTAAAACCATATAAGACCTTGGTGTCCCATGTTGGCTAACTATTTGACCTGGTTCCCACTTCTTCTGAACATGATTGTATACTGTAACATCAGTATTATTTGTTAACGGTGGTAATTCTTTGGCACTTCTATTATAATACTTATTATATGTATTGCGCCTATGTTGCAGCTTCTCAAGCACATTTTCACATAACTTAGGTTGCAATAACTCTGAACTAATAGGTATTTTAGTTTTACAAATCCGGCTCATTAACAATTGAGACGGGGAGTAACCAATATGCTTGAGAGGTGTATTACGGTATTGCAGCAATGAGATTTCAATATCACCTTCTTTTACTGATTTCTTAATTATATTTTTTGCTATTCCTACTCCTTTCTCAGCGAGGCCATTGGAGCGTGGATAATTCGGGCTTCTAGTGATGATTTTGAAATTCCATTCCTCGCAAAATTTTTACAATACAAACTATCAAATGGTATATTATCACATGTTATACAATCTGGTGAACCAAACACAGAGAACACTCTTCTTAATACCCCAATAACAGCTTTGGAAGATTTATTCTTTATCAAATG